CATGTTTATATACAGAAATTCAATTTTATAATTTTAATAAGGATTAAGATAAATCGTAAATGAAAAAAAAACTGGTTTTATTAAATTAGCGACAGGATTAAATTTTCCTAATTCTCGATGGTATTTTAATTCATAAACCATAATAAGAGTGATAACAATGATAATTGTGAATAATAATGATAATAATGTGACTGATTTCTATATATTAAAATCAATTCGCGTATAAGAACAAAAAATTACATAGAAAAATTTCTTCAATTCTTATCAATGAATTTTTATAAATTTTTATAAATTCAAAATTCAACAAAGTCATTTTTATATTTAAAATATAATTTTTATTTTTATTATTACTATCATACTAATAAAAATATTTAATTAAAATGCTAATAAAATATGCGAATTTTTAATTTATAAAATTCATAATGGATTTTTTACTCTTTAAAAGCGCTCACTATTTTTGGTAGATATTTGGTATGCTCGCTTATCATACCAGGCAAATTTTTCAAATTTTGATCACCAGAATTATTTTAATTTTTAAAAGAAATATTCATACATCTACTAGAACCTCTAAATTGAGTCTTCGAAATGAAAGCAACGACAAATCGGTGCTTTTTAGCTCTTCCATGATAAATTGGAAACATGCATTATGCATCCAGAATTAATTTAGAAAATTTTTGAGTCTTTTATCTAATTGTTTTTCCCTTACAGCATCGATTACAGCAGCAATAGACCTTAGTTTGCCTTAAAATTGTTTAAAAAACAAATTAAATACAAATTAAACTACAGAAAAATGAGAAAATAAAAAAAATACAAATAATCTAAATAAAATGATTGTCAAAGGAGAAATTCATAGGAGGTTTCACGCTTAATAAACTTCTCATACAATATTGTCCAACCTGCTTAAACTGCATTACTGAATTTTGTCTTCGGGCTATCTTATCAAAGTGTTTTCATACTATGCAGCTTTGCTTTAAATAATAATAAATAAATAATAAATAGTATTATAAAATAATTAATAATGACAATAATAATGATAATAGAATAATAATAATAGTGATAATAATGATAATAATAATAACAATGATGATAATGATAATAATAACGATAATAATAATAAAAATAATGATAACAATAATAATAGGCAAAATGTCAATACCTTTAAGTTATTTCAAAAATTTGAAGAATAGTGAAAGTAAACGATTTATGGGATTAAATTGAAGAAAGAGATATGAATTCAATTAATTTCTGATAGTACATCGAATCAGAAAGCTATAAAATTCTCTAAATCGTAGAATTAACCAAATCAAAAATGGTGGAGATTGCCAAGAAGATTATTGTTATTATTATTAGCATTAATATTAATTTTAAATTACCTTTTATTATTATTTGTTGGTATTATTATTTTTATTATCATTTTTATGGTTATTTATTTTTAATAATAGAGTAAATTTTTAGTTATAATAGTAATAATAGTAATAGTAAGTTCTAAGTTTTTCATAATTTCATAATATTAATTAGTGATAGGACAGTTCAGTGAATTATTGCTCAATTCGGAGCGCCGATGCTGAGGTTCTATTCCCTAAAGGAGTGAACCCGTATGAAAATCCGAGTGATACTAGCGATTCATCAGTACTTCTATCGTCAAGAGACTCCCTGGCATATTTGTGACGAGTTTAACTAGTAATGGTGTCTAAAAAAAGGACACCTCAGTAGGTTTCTGTTCGAATTCTAAAGTGCTAGTATTGAATTTCTACTTCAGAAGTAAATCTATCTTCTAAAAGTCCGAATGATGATGGCGACCTGTCTCGTCTAAAATACCATCGGGCCTAACTAAAAATAGTTTATATAGTTTAAGATAATATATGGAGAACCATGCAAATTTTGAAAAGGAAATAAGCTAAGACAAATTGAGGACAATTCCTCTGCCATATATCAAAATTATTTTGTTCGATCCTTACAATTGCACCACAAGTTTTCTATTACACCACTGAAATTCGGTTATAAGTTTTCAAGTTTTCTTAATGGCTTCCAACAAAGAAATGAAGAAAAATCTAGAAATAGTTTGAAGATTAATATAAAAATCTGTGACTTTGTTTATAGAAGCAGTACATTGAACAAATATGACAGAGAATTCCTTGGCCATAGGGATACAGATGAGTCGCCAACATCACCCGGATTTTTGTACACGTTTACTCATGCGAAGAATCGAACCTCAGCATCGACATTTCCAATTGAGCAACAATCCACTGAGCCATTCTATTCTCAAATTATTATCAATCAAAATGAATTATTTGAAAAATATGATTCAAATTTGTAAAAACGAGTCGTCTGATAGCATTGATAAAAACTGCTATGTTGATAAAATAACTGAATATATTGACAAACCAGAAAGAATCTTGTACTGTGGCGATAAATTTATCTAAAATGCCATTCGAAGAAAGTTAATGCCGTATCACAATGATAGTAGACAATGTGTTTGAAGATATTCTCGGAAAAACTCCAATTAACCCCAATAAAAGTATAAAAAGCAGATAAACGAACAGAATGATAAAAAGTTGTCCTCAAAAATTTTAAGCCAACATTATATATCAATTATTACTATCTTTATCACTATAATTATTCTTCAGTTCTTCCTTTATTCTTAATTTTTAAGAAAATTTTAAAATTCACCTGAAAATTTGGAAATTGCCTGCAGAAGGATATAAAAACCTGTTTTTAAAAAGGGAGATTATTAAATATATATGCCTTGCAACTACAGATTAATTAGTAAGTTCCAAGATATTAGATATTTAAGCTAAAGGCTATCTAATAACTTAAAGACAAAAATCTGAAAAAATTTAATATTTAAAATTTAATAATAATTATACAATAATAAATTTAATTTAAATTATATAAATTATTTAATAATAACTATAAATTATATAAATTATATATATATAAATCCAATAAAAATAAAATTTAATAATAATTATTATCAATAATATTAAATATTATTTTTATTACTAATAGTCATATAGAATCTATAGATATTGACAAGCAGTTATGGTTGGCTAGCTATACATTTACCAAATTTTTGGATACAATACTGCATAAGAGGTTTTTAGCCATAATTATTAATCAGAGATCTCCATTAGCCAAAGAGAGACTGAAAACTGCTACTCCATATCGAGCAATAATTGGAACTAAATCTGATTTGATTCAAAGTAGCTACATTGATGTTTCACTCTTTTAATAATATTTTACCAATCTTGTACTAAATTCAATTTAATTGGATCCACTAGGCTTGAACCGGGTGATGCTGGCAATTCACCTGTCATTCTATCGCCAAGAGACTCCTTGGCATATTTGTCCAATGCGACAAGCCAGCGGATTGAGTTTAAAAAAAAAAACTAGGCTAAAATTTAAAATGTACTTATAAAATTTTGCTTGGCCACATTAAAACAAATTCGATAATTTATGCCACCAATATTATTATAATTAGATCGAATAGATTAAATTATTAAAAATAGATAACCTAGAAGAAGGTTCAACTTAGAAGTTATAAGTTTTTTGCCTGTACTATACTATTTATTGGAATAAAACTATGAATTAACTATGTGCTCAATCGATAGGTATTTTTTTAAAAGGCTAATAAATGTTCAAACAATTTCTTTTAATAATAGCCTCATTGTAAGTACCATTAAAAATAGGATACTGAATGCTATCAATATCAATGCTGGTAATTTCAATTAAGTAATTAAGTGATTTAAGTAATCTTAATTCATTGCTTTTAATTACGCCCTGCTTGGTTGGTTTTCAATAAATAAATAAATAAATTATATTGAAAATTTAAGTTGAAATCGTAAATTTTTATTGCTGGCCAACGGAATACGAAAAAAGGCCTTTTCTATTGACCTGTAGAATTTTATATCTTTTGCCCTAAATGTGTTATGAGGAGGAGGGGGGAGGGTTTCTACTCCTCGCAGAAGTAAACCTGTACAAAAATCCGGATGATACTAGTGATACTCACTTGTATTTCTGTCGCCAAGAGATTACTTCCTAGGATATTTTTCTAGAGCGACAAGCCAGCGAAGCGAGTCTAACTTATAATGGTGAGGGCTCTTCAAAAACTCCCTCCCTGTTCTATAAAAACATTGAGCGTTTGTGTCATCATGTAGCAACGGACTCTCTGACCTACAACTCATTTATTATCATTGATGATAACTATCTGATTTTGTAGATAATGAAGAAATATATTCATATATTTTTATGGTTTTCTTACAAAATTTTATTATTTTATTTTATTATTATTCCGGCTCCTTACTTATTTTATTATTGTTCACTTTGTCCTTCTTTAAAAATTTGTTAAGAAGTTCAAAATAAAAATTAAAATATTTATAAATATTTTATTAAAATAAAATAATACAATAAATTTATTAAAATATTTATTATATAATATAATAAAATATATTTATCATAATATAATAAAAAATAAAAATAAATTAAAAATAAAAAATATTTCAAATGAAACAGCTGAAATATATCCATACTAAATGATTTTATGATAAAATTAAAAAGTTGATTATCACTATTATCATTGGATTATATAGAAATTACTAAAATTTACAAATTGTTTTTGAAATTAAGTTGGCTCTTGAAACGAAATTTTGTATACGATGCTTTCTTGTTTTTTTTATTTCTATATCCATAATAAATTTTTGTATGATTGGTTTGCGCGAAGATTTTTCATAAGTCTGAGCATTTTTCGTTTTATTAATTTTGTAAAAGTTGATCTCAAATAATCTGAAAACAGTTTAGTTCCACTGGGGAACCTTAGAATTATATGCGAATATCCGGTTGTTTAAACAAAATTGATTGTCGATGAGTGCTTCTAAAAAATGCATCGATTATCGTTTATCCAATTCTAGTATACGGTATAGACTTATGGAACTTTAATTTACGAGAGTATTTAATACTATAATAGATTTCCGGTAATAGAATAATATTTTAGCTTATAAGAAATGGCCATTCCAGCAAGCAAATCTTCATCGAATCCAAATTTGCAGCAACAGGTTTCGTTTTTCTATTATTTCCTTAATTATTTAGGATCCAAAAAAATTAGATTTTTTTTAAAATTGAAAATGATAAAAGTAAAAATTAAAAAAAACGAAGACTTAGGATAATGCGCTGTTGAAATATTATTTTTTCAAATATTATTATTATTAGAATTTGTTAGAATTTGAAAATATTGATATTTTTGGAATTGTTTTTTATTTATTGTTTTTATTTGGGATTATTTTTTATTTATTATTTTTTTATTTATTTTGAATGATGAATTTCAAATTTAATATTGATTTATTAATTTAAAATTTTAAGGCAACCGATAGCAATGTGGTTGAAAATTCTATCATTGCTACTGGTGTTACTGTTGGAATTGGAAGCAATGAAGAATCGTGTTTGTTTCCAAATCGTACGATGAATGAACTCAGTCTTAGCCCAGAACAAGCATTCATTCATATGGTTAAAGCAATGCTTGGAACTGGATTATTATCGTTGCCACTTGCATTCAAGCTTGCTGGTCTTTGGGTTCGCCTTTGTTTTATTTAATATTTAATAATATTTATGTTGAGTTTTCGATTTTTTCGAGATTTTAATTGCGAATCTAGCATTAGTGGTTTGGACAGATAAGAATCGGATAGTAGTTAATAGGATAATGATAACGATTTAAAAAGATCGAAAGATATCGCATATCTAATGACAAAATGATTTTTATGTTCAATTGATTCATCGGCAATATTAAATTTTAATAGGAATTTAAAATATATATTAATCAGCTTGTTTCACGAAAATCATTTGTTGTTATTATTGTTTTTGTATTGTTAAAATTATTGTTTTTATAAAATGTTTATTGCATTTTATTTAAGCTGGGCCTTGTTCTTCTTTTCATTATATCTGGCATTTGCTTAATATGTATGAGGCAAGTGGTGTTTGCTTCGCATTTTATTTGCCAGAGGTTTTTTTTTCATTTATTGTTAAATTCTTTTCAGATTTTTTCGACAGTTATTGATAAAATTATGATTAGCTATTCAATATTTTGATATTGTTTGTAAAAAAAATTCATATATTTATTTTTTTCAGGTATGGACGTGAAACAGTTGATTATGCTAATATAATGCGTGGTGCAGTTGAAGCTGGACCTATATGGATTAAAAATCACGGCTATTTCTTTAAGTAATTAATTTTCCTGTTTATTTGGCTAATCATTTTTTTTTTCTGAAACTTTATTATTTCATCAATAATTTCAATACTTTAGGCAGCTGGTGAATGTGAATTTATTTTTTGCACAGTTAGGATTTTGCTGTGTATATTTTGTTTTCATGGCGGATAATTTGCAAGATGTTAGTTTTTGCCATTTCATCATATATTTTTCAACCTATTATTAAAGAGAGAAATAAGGATTAGTTCATTGACTATTTGTTTGCGATAATTTTTCAATTTCATTATAATCTTCAGGTAATAGCAAATATATTGTAGTTTATTCTTTTAGTTCTTTAACCAAAATACAAGTATTTATTTATCAAAAGCAATATGGATGTTTCTTTTACTTGTTCCAATTTTAACAATTTGTTCGATACGGCGACTTAGCGATCTCGCACCATATTCTCTCGCTGCAAATATTGTTTATATATGTTGGTTCTTCATTTTTTAATTCTTTTTTACTTTATTTCTTAAAGATTTTTAATAATAGTAGATGGTATAAAATTCTAGAGAATTTTATAGTTCGGATTTATTTATTAGACTGTTAGGCTCCCTTATTTGTTTATTTATTTGTATTAGATTAAATTTGATTTATAAGGAAATTTTCACATCTTTTTAAGTTTTAACATATCTCATTAATAAATTTATATTTTATTAGCCGTCAATATATAATTTTATTAAAAGAAATATGTTTTAAAAGGTATCTTCTGTTTTTAGGTGCAATTACTATTGTATTTTATTATTTTTTTACAAATCTGAAACCGTCGAGCTCATTTCCTGCAATTGGTCGTTTATCTGATCTTCCTCTCTTCTTTGGAACTGTTATGTTTGCTTTCGAAGGTGTTTCAGTAGTTCGTGGCTTTATTTCTTTAAAATTCTTTTTCATAACTAATAATACTTATTGACTATAATTTTTAGATTTAGTTTTTCCTCATGTTTCCAAGCTACTTTGAGCAAAATTTTTTATGAATTAATTTTTCGCATGAAAAAACATTTTTTCTTTCTCGAAAAATTATTTAATAAATTCAATACTCACAAGTAATAAATAAAACTCACAAGTAATATTTAAATTTTAAAGATTATGCCGATTGAAAATCGAATGAGTGAACCAGAGCTTTTTATCAAATGGAATGGTGTTCTTAATTTATCTTGTTTTGTTGTTTTAATAATCTTTGCTATCACCGGTTTCTTTGGTTACATGGCTGTTGGTGAATCGGTTGCTGATACCGTCACACTCAATTTACCTGAAGCACCGTAGGTTCCAAATTTTCTGAAAATTATTTGCTCGACATGAGTTCGCATGATTTTGAGTTTAAATTACTTAGATTTGCAGTTTTTATCAAATAATCAAAGTGTTGTTCGCGTTATGTGTTATGGTCTCGTATCCGGTTCAGTTCTATGTGCCAGTAGAACGCGTTGAGAAGTGGATTACGCGAAAGATTCCTGTTCAGAGACAAACTGCGGTCATATATTTGGCTCGTTATGGATTGGTTTTAATTACTTGTGAGTTTTATTTTCTTTATTCTCTTTTCCATGCCATCCGCTAGAACAAAAATGAAATGATAAAATAAGTATCTCAGTTAGTTTCGTTGAGTTATTATTAATGTTTGCTTTGAAATTCATCTGAATTTTAAGGCAATTCATAAGGTTCCATGTTAATAATTCAGTTTTAAAATTTTTATTGTGTTTATATCAATATATCAAAATTTTAATAAATTCTATCAAGTTAATAGTTTTATTTTTATAGGGGCTTTTGCTGAATTAATTCCACATTTGGCACTTTTTATTTCTCTGATCGGCGCATTTTCTGGCAGTATAATGGCATTAATTATTCCACCATTCATCCATGCTTTGGTGAACTTTTTTTATTTTACAATTATGTCCATTCATTGATTATCATTCCTGGTTTCATTGAAAGATAAAAGAGAGCAAAGATTTTCATCTTTATAGCAACAATTGTTAAATGGCTGCGAGACATGGCCGATGAGAGTTGAGGAGATTAAAAAGTGATCTTTGACCACTCATATCTAAGATTTATCTATGATGCATGCTTAGAAATCCACCAAGCGGATCAAATCTCTTATGCATCCACTTTTACATCTATTTTTTAACACCAGTTATATTGACAGTACCATTATATGGCATCGTTTTTTGGTTGAGGCACGTTCTTCGTCGTCTACTAGGAATTGACTTGACACTATTGCTTGCAAAATCCTGTAACGGATGACTTCAAAACGGATGAGGATAGTCAAGATCTAGTTTGATGCAATCAAAAAAAATTTTGGATGTATAGATGGATAAGTGATACTTGGATTTAGACGGTTGAAAAAGGAGTGGCTTCTATTATCATCGATGGCGTCGAACTGAACAGTTTAGAGGCATTTTACCTTTGTAGCCAGCGAAGCCAGTTCAACTAGTAATAGTAAGAGCTGTTAGAAAAAGAAAATAGGAAAATAAAATAAAATAAAATTTTGACAAAAACTTAATTTTAATTCATTTTTACTATTGCTAAGGTATAAGCTCGTTAATTAGCTTTAGATTATGTAATTAGATGTAAATTTTAAATTATTAGAAATATTATTAAATAATTAAAAAATTTCATATTTTCAGTCAACGAATAGGCTTTCCTTAGGTGGTAATTCTACTGTTTTCGATTTATTTAACTGCATTTGGAAACTCCATGTTATCTAGGAAAGAAAATGTAAACTATAATTAGCAAATTTGATTCTTATTGTTGGCTATAGGCGCGATTGGACTGCATTTTGATTCTCTTTGCCTTGAAATCATTTTTGCTTAATTCTTATTTATACATTTTTACAAAATATATGGAATTATCAAAGTTCAGAAATGAGAGTTATTTACTTTTTTCTTTTATTATAAGAAAATTTAAGTGCT